TCGTCCGGCACACCAACACAAAACAACAGCGTGGGACAGCGCTCAGGCGCAGCCAGCGATGGCGCCGCCCAGCCGATGCCTGGCATGGGAGGAAACAGGGTCGCACCAAGCCCGCGGGAGCCTCGCGAAGCCCGTCGGCACGTGGAGTTCGCGGCGACAAGTGGCGAACAGGCCATCATGGCACCAATGCCACTCAAGCCGCAACGCCCGCCCTGCTTCGACCCGAGCCAGCGTGGAGGTCCGACGGTTCAATCGTGGGTCTTCACGATGAACGTCTTCTTCGACGCGAATTACGTCGAGTCGGACGCAGCGAAGATTCGGTATGCAGTTTCGCTGCTAAGGGGCCCCGCCATGGACTGGTGGCGAGTCATCGTGACGTCGCCACGCGCCTACGAGCCACCGTTGCAAGAGGAAGGGCCCACGGGTCCAGCTGTCACCTGGAGTTCATTCTGCGAAACCGCCCAATACAGCACGTGGGATGCGTGGTGCGCAGGGCTTCGGGCGCGCTTCGAGCCGATCGCGGCTTTTATTTCGGCGCGTCAGAGATTGCGCACTTGGCGGCAGCTCGGGTCGGTTCAAGATTACACGAGCGGTTTTCTCGCACTTTGCGAGCAGGTCGGCTACATGCACGAAGCGGAGCGGGTGGATCGTTACGTCGGAGGGCTGAAGCCGGATATCTCGCACGAAATCATGCTGCGCGGACTCTCAAACTTCAACGAGATTCTCGCGCTCGCCGAGAAAATCGACATTCTACGCCGACCGAGACCGGGGTCCTACTACGGACATCGTCCTCGGGGACCGATCGAGCACGCCACAGTAAACGCTGTTGCAACGAATGCAGCTGCCGCACCGTTTAAGGGGCGTTGCTTTGCTTGCAACAGGCCGGGCCATCGCAAGAGCGAATGCCCAGAGGAGCTAAGGCGCCGCGGAGCAGAGCAGGGAAGGGAGTCTCAGAGGCAGGGAAACGCCAGCAGTCAGTAGAAGTTGGGCCAACTACTGACGAGACTGCCTGCTCGCCCAACCACACCGACCCTCACCGAGTCACAGTACCGATTCACGCCATCGATCGGGCTCGGATGAATAAGGAGGGTACAGCGACGGATTGCCCAGTACTGATCCACGGGAAAATACAGGGAGCAGCAGTGAAGATTTTTATCGACGGAGGAGCAAGCCACAGTTTAGTTAATACCGCAACCGCACGTAAAACGCAGCTGACACTTAGCCGTTGCTTACCGGAGATAGACGCACGCTTAGTCGACGGCACGCCACTGGCCATACGGGAAAAGGTAGAGCGAGTCAAAGTCCGCTGCGGGGGAAATTTCGGGTTTACACAGGAAATACTCGCAACGACACTGGATGGGCACGATATTTTACTGGGACCTGATTGGCTGCGACGATATAACCCGCGAATTGACTGGACGACGGGTAGCTGCACCGTGCGAAGTAGTGGTAACTGGGTCGAGCTACCTCGCTGGCAGTCGCCCGAGTCTTCAACGGTACACGTCAACGCTATCACAATGAAACGGGCTGTCGCTGCTGGGGCTGACGTGTACGCAGTAGACATCGCAGTAGTAGAGGAAGCAAAGCAGCCGAGTGATTTTCAGAAACTGTTGACAGCAGTACCGCCCGAACTACAGGAACTATTGAAACGGTACCCGGGGATTTTTCCAGACGACTTACCGGAAGGACTGCCACCTCAGCGGGCGCATGATCATAGGATCGAGTTAGAACCGGGGGCACAGCCAACTGTACAGCGCCAGTTCGGACTGACACAGCCCGAGCTCGACGAACTGAGGAAGCAGTTAGATTATTTGTTAGAGAAGCAGTTTATTCGACCAAGTTCGTTACCGTTCGCCGCACCGATACTGTTCACACCGAAAAAAGACGGAGGGTTTCGCATGTGCATCGATTACCGAGCGCTCAACAGGGTAACAGTCAAGTCGCGGTACCCAATTCCCCGCGCCGACGAACTGATCGACCAACTGCGAACAGCACGGGTTTTTTCAAAAATATATTTACGGGGAGGTTACCATCAGATTAGGGTCGAACCATCGGACTGCGCCAAAACAGCTTTCAGGACTTGGTACGGGTCGTTCGAGTACACTGTGATGCCATTCGGGCTGACCAACGCACCGGCGACTTTTCAGATGACCATGAACGAGGCATTTAGGCCACTCTTAGATAAATGCGTGATAGTTTACCTCGACGACATCCTCGTCTACAGTCGCGACAAGCAGCAGCACTTAGCGGATCTCGGAGCAGTATTTAAAGTTTTAGAGGAACATCGGTTACTCACCAAGGGCTCTAAGTGCGAGTTTTTTCGGGACAGACTAGAATTTTTGGGGCACGTTATTTCGGAGGCTGGAGTTGAAATCGACCCAAAGAAGCTGGATACGGTAAAAGCGTGGCGTCCCCCGACGAACATCACGGAACTGCAGAGTTTTTTAGGGTTCGTTAATTATGTTCGTCGGTTCGTCCCCGACATGGCACAATTGACTGCCCCGCTGACGGATTTACTGCGAAAGGGGGTCGTTTTTACGTGGGGGGAGAAAGAGCATGCTGCCTTCTCTGCCCTGGAAAATGTTCTCTGTTCACCGCCCGTCCTGCGCATCGCCGACCCACACCGCCCCTTCGAGGTTGTTACAGACGCAAGCGACATCGCCATTGGAGCCGTACTGCTACAGGACTTCGGCAACGGCCTACAGCCCATCGCATACGAGTCATGAAAACTGCATCCGCCCGAGCGAAATTACCCGATACACGACCGCGAAATGCTCGCGATCGTGCATGCGTTCAAAGTGTGGCGCTGCTACTTGACCGGCGCAGACGTGACAGTACGGACAGACCACCAATCACTACAGTACCTCCGCGCACAGCCCCACCTCAACCCACGACAGATTCGGTGGCTCGATTTCCTCGAGTCAAACTTCCACTACACGGTCACTTACAAAAAGGGAGCCTCGAACATCGCCGACGCACTGACCCGCCCCACTGCCCAGATCCACGCAATACTACTCGCCCAGACAAGCCCGCTACTGACAGGCCTATTCACCCACGGGTACCAGACGGATCCATTCTTCACAGGAGGAAATTCGCAGCAGTTCACAGCAGCAAAGGGAGTCTATTACGTAAAAATCGGGACTGACCGCATTTGGGTACCTGGGTATACACTGCTACGGGAATTACTGTTACAGGAGGCACACGACGGAGTTACTTCGGGGCATTTCGGAGTAGAAAAAACACGGCAGCAGCTGCAGCGGTATTATTACTGGCCCGAAATGTTGACCGACGTGCAGCGACACGTGGCATCGTGTCCCACTTGCCAGATCATGAAGTCAACACGGAAGCGGCCGGCGGGACAGTTGCAGCCAATCCCCCCTCCAGAGCGTGCTTGGCAGCAGGTGACGATGGACTTCGTCACGGGGTTACCGGCCGGGGCGAGTGGAAATGACGCGATCCTGGTCGTCGTCGATCGACTGACGAAAATGGCACACTTCGCAGCCTGCAAAAAATCAATCACAGTCGAAGAAACAGCCCGCCTCTTCATCTCTACCGTCGTTCGACTGCACGGGATACCAGCATCGATCATCAGCGACAGAGACACGAAATTCACCAGCAACTTCTGGCGGAACCTGTGGCAGCAGTTCGGCACGCGACTACAGTTTAGTTCATCGTACCACCCCGAAACAGACGGACAGACAGAACGGACAAATCAGACCATGGAACAGCTCATCCGGGCCACGTGCGACGACCCAAACACGTGGGAACAGCAACTGCCACTCATCGAATTCGCATACAACAACGCCCCATCCAAACGACCCAACATTCACCGTTTTACCTGAATTACGGACAAGACCCAACAGTACCCATGACCCCGAATCCCGACAACCCGGTTCCACGCGCGCAACAGTTCGCCGAAATATTACAAGCAGCACGGACCCGGGCAGTAGACGCAATAAAAAAATCGAACATCATCGCTAAACGCAACGCCGACCGCCACCGCAGACCCGTCACTTACCAGCCCGACGACTTAGTTTTACTTGACACTCAGAACCTCCGACTGCCCATCACTCCGAAACTCCGCCCCCGATACTGCGGGCCATTTCGCATAAGCCACATGCTTACACCCGTCACCGCCCACCTCCTCCTCCCTGCTGACTGGTACGTCAGCCCCTCATTCCACGTCAGCCTACTTCGCCCTTACGTCCCGTCCACGAGCCAACTGCCACGCAATCGCCCAGCCAGCATGATAAGACCACCAACTGAACCAATCATCACCCCCGAGAAAATCCTGAGTCACAGAGTTCGCGACCCTCGAGGAGCCCGAAGGATCGAGTTCTTACTCCGCTGGAAGGACCGTACACCCACCGAAGACAATTGGGTTCCCCTGGACAGAATCGAAAACCACCCCGTCCTCACCGAGTATCTGCGCAGCCGAAATTTCAGGGATGTACACGCACTCTCGTAAGGAGGACCTCCTTAAGGGGGGGGGTAGTGTAAGGAAAATTCCTTTTCCTTACTTCGCATCCCTGCTCAACGCGTACATCACTGTAGCACCACAGTCAGCACCGTTACCACTCGCAACCCTCGCATCGACAATCTGCCCGCCACCTTCGCACATCGCACCCCGACCTCACGGCTCGGCGGGTAACCCGCGCTCCGGGCCTCCGCTTCGACACTTTTCCCAACCTCAGCCTCAGGCCCGTCGCGCGACAACCACAGTCCATTACCGTTACCACTGTAGTTTCGCTATATATTCTTCGCTCAGGCCTTCGCTCATTGTACTCTTGCTTCGATAGTGGAATTCTCGTTCGTTCACTCAATTGCACTCGTAACAGAAACACGATATTGAAATATTTCGACTATAACTAAACTGCCAGATTTGAACAAATAATGTGAGTGTATAACTAGGTAATTACGCATAATTTAATGGAGATGGCACACATCCCCGCCAGCTACATGCTAACTGAGAAGCAACGGCTATACTAGCGGAGCTAATTTTAGCCTTGCCTTCCAGCTTCAACATCATCGTTGCTAGACAGCAGTGCCAACTTTTCACCATTCTCCATCCCCTCATCTGGCATTTTGGTTGGAAGAGCAGCAGACACCATAGGAGATCTCTGAAGCTTGTCCCTTGCTTCCTTCTCCTTCTTGCCCTTCTCAACAGCCCAGCTGTATAGAACCATTCCCAACACAGCCATCAGCATACCCATCACGTTCTTCATGGTGATCGGAGAGCTGAATACGAGGAAGCCCATGGCGAGAACCAGGACCGTTTTCATGTGACCCAGGACCTGGAAGGACGTCGCTGAGAACTTTCCAATGCAGAGGTACTGGCTGAGATTGCAGAAGACTGCGAAGAAGCACGAGAGGCCGATGAAAATCTGCACAGAAGAATCAGTTGGAAGTGTCAAGCTAAGGGAAGAGTGCCGACTACCACTATACGTGAATTGCAACCACACTCGAGACCAGGTACATCACCAGCAACTCACCGCAGAGCCCCATGTGAGCTGGTATTTCAAAATGGATTGCGAGATAAGGAAGTAGTCAATAACGGGGCCGAGCAGCAGGAGCAGTGCCGCCTGAATGGGAGCCGTCTGGCTGAGCAGGTCGAAGGAGCCGATGCTGTACTTGGTCTGCAGCGACCCGATGAACTGCAGAACGCGGGAGGGGGATGAAAGGAGACATATTATGCGGCGCATATAGGAAGCACAGCTTGAAATGCAGCTGGTCTGCAGGGATAAGGCACGGGAGCTCCGTCGAGGTCTGTGGAGTGAATTAAAGAAAGGGACGAGAGGAAACGCTGATGAACAATACGGATGGAAGAGAGAGGAACGGGAACGGACGGGATGCGCAGGAGCTACGTGAACTCGAAAAAATGGCGGACATCAAGACGCATGAAAGGGATTGTCGTCAGTCCATTCACGACGAGGTCGAACGACACACGTACAATCTGCTGGAATGACGTGCTGATAACGGCGATTACAGCGGCGAGGGAAACAATAGAACTGGAGCGGGAACGATGCCGAGAGGAATGGACCGGGGAATGAGCCGAGAGGAGTGGAACGGCGAGGGAACCGAGAGAAGGGGGCGAATGGAGCACACACGGGAACGAAGACACTCACGATCTGCTGGAGCGATGTGCTGACGTTGGCGACAGTAGCGGCGAAAAAATTAAAAGAACTGGCGCGACAACGAAGCCGAGAGAAGGGAGAAAGAATGCACTCACGATTTGCTGCAGAGACGTGCTGATGACGGCGACGGTAGCGGCGACGAAGCCAAAGGCGTTCATGTTGATGTCCGTGACGGTGCACACACCCACTCCCACCATGACCACTGCCACGGAGAACTTGACCTCGCGCGAGTAGGCCTTTGAATGGAGGAGAGCTTCGAAGAAGCAGACCACTGGAATGATGCTCAACTTGGCAATCTGTGAAGGGTGGGAGCAGGACGAGATGGGACAGGAACAAAATCCAGCAGAGGGTGAAGAAGGATTCATGCAGAAAGTCAATGTCATTAACAGGGCCCTTTTTAGCCGACAATTGGCTCTTATCTGCCTTTCTTTACTCGGGAATGTGGGACCATGCCAAAGGTTATAGACAAGGTCATGTTGCCATGCTGACAAACCTGGTAGAATCCGACGGTGTTGAGCATGAGGCTGAGATTCATGGAGACAATGGAGAGATTCGCAACAATGGAGAACCAGATCAGCTCCCACAGCGGGACCGTGTTCTTGCTGTTCAGGTATCCCAGCGCAGCCGATGCCATTCCGACCAGAGCCGTCACTCCGAAATGTAGACCCGTCAGTGTCGAAGCTGCGCAGAGCAAGCGAGAGATGAAACATCAAATAAAGGCACAAAGCCATTATCGACGATCCTAACGTTTTTGTGTGAATGTCGTATTCCTGCACGTGGTAGCATCGCGGCACATAAAGATTACACTGCGCTTCAAGAAAGTTGATTACGATGGTCTAAGAGCTTTTTGTTAGCCTCTAAAAAGGGGTTGTTATGACTTACCAAACCTGAAGCCATAGCCTGACATGACTTGCTTGTTAATCATGATGATCCCGACGGAGCTAACTACGTTCATGGTCCATGCTCCCACGGCCGAGATCGACGACGGATTGTTTACCATGGTGATGCCTTTTGAGGGAACCAGTCAGTCGTTATTCTACTGTCAAGCAACGCACGTTCAACTGGATGCAAAACAGGGTTGTGCGTTGCCTCGTCGCTAATGATTCCGTCTACATCAGCTGGTAAGCTACCAGCAACAACCAGCAATGACCTCAGGAGTTGTGAGCTGAGTCTGAGGCCTGAACTCCCGAAAACTACAAGCTTTAGTGGAGTGATGCGCAGGCTGCAGAAAATGATCGAGGCTTTGGTTTAGGATTAGCTGTCTGATGATGGGGCACGAGAGCGGACAACTCCCTGTCACAAAACGGGAGGAATTTGGTGCGGTACAATACTTTACAGTGTGGTACAGATTTTTTGAGAGACTTGGATGGATGGAATCATGAAAGGAATGGTTCGGAATCTGGATGGACTGGATTCGCGTCGCGTCACGGAGTAGGCGGGGCGAGGCGTGGACCATGCGTGGCCCGTAAACCCCTGCGTACTGTACGAGCAATGGAATTTCCGCAGAAGTCATGCTGCTCAGACAGGTGAAACATTTTTGCGTCTGTCAGGCGGGACAAGAAAGGAGGGAACGGGCTGTGTGGAAATAACGAAGTGGATGGCGTGTAGCAGGTCCCGCCTGCAGGTGCTCTTCTTGAAAACGTGGTTTCGAACTTGTGTGACCGTTTGGCGCGCCGCACAGCGAAGTGTGCCAACCAATGTTCTCAGTTTCGGCAGATCCGCTAACCAGACAAGTTTCGTTGAAGGAACACACATTTCAGATCATTCAAACGAGCAATTTCTAGTGCTAAGTCTAGCTAGTGGCACTTTCAGTTTTTTTTTACCAGACATAAGACCACATCAGTGAAAGACAAGCTAGTACAGTGCATAGTACACCCACCGAGTGGCTAGTAAAGAAACTAGGACGCTTACTAGCACCGGAATCATTGTAAGGTTGAGGACTAGATGCGTGCCATAGTATCCAACAAGAGTAATGAGGCCGTCCCCCACCACTCGGGCGAAAGTTCCAGCCTCAGTCGACAGAAGGCCGCAATTGAACGTTCCTCTTGCAAGGCGTGGTGACATTATGCGCGACATGAGTGAAAGAGAAACCCCTGCAAAGCGCCACACAAGTTTCAGACAGCAATCCAGACAGGAGTGTGGGTGAGTACTGTAGTGGAATTGGAAAGCCCTACGAAGCTGCGTACACTCAGAGAAGCAGAGCCATGGATTGCAAGAAGAGCTACACTGATGCTACACTAATTACCAAGAAACCGCAGCGCACCTTCGAGCACGTTGCAGGAGACAAAGATGATGACAGCAGCAACAATGTACTGCTGTGTAGTGTACTTGATGATTGGCGCAAAACACATCACAGCTATCACCCCAACTGCGATCAGGCCCTGCGTCCACATGATCACCAGCCTGCGGAAGGGCGCAGTGAACAGACGGGAAGGAGGAAATCAACAATCAGCATCATCAGTTTATGAACAATTGAAGTGTGAAAAGTGTACCAAACTGTAACGCATGCGTAAGAGCCAGCACAATACACCTACTGCTGACCTGTCCTTGTATATGTTGGCTATGTAGTTCCCAACCAATCGCAGTCCTGTGATTGAGAACCGTGAGACATGCACTAGCCTGCATCACACTTGTACCAGCGTGCATGCATGATAAACCTACTGCCTTACCTGTCCTCGTATATGTTGGTGATGTAGTTTCCAACCACAGAGCTGATGGGTGGGTAGAACCGTGAGATGTACGCTAGCCTGTATCACACTTGTACCAGCCAGCCTACACCATACGTGTGCTATCCTGCTTCATACATACACTAACACGCATACTACACCCACTGCTTACCTGTCCTCGAATATGTTGGTGATGTAGTTTCCAACCACTGAGCTGATGGGCAGCACTGTGAGACCCAGGAGACCCAGGAACCAACCAATCTGAAGGAAGAGAGGAGAAAACGTTTGGCGTTTAAAATTTCTCCATGGCCCCAATCAGTCAGTCAGGTCAGCTACAAAAACATTTCAAAAGCATTGCTTTGCCAGATCCACTCATTGCTGATGATGCGCATTGTTGATTGACGGCGAAAAAAAAAAAAAAAAAAAAAAAAAAAAAACCAGAACAATGCAGATAGGCAGAGTAATTGGGTTACGCAACGGGGAAGAAGTGGTTGGAAGTTGGAACCTACGTCATTGATTGTCCACTGAACTGGAAGTAGTACTAGGAGATAAGGCTGGTCTCCAATATAAGTGTACAAGAGTAGGCAGAGCAGAGCGATGGGTCTAGATAATGGGGAAGGCATGGAACGTACGTCGTTGATGGTCCATTGGAAGTAGTACTTGGAGATAAGGCTGGATTCTGATATAAGCACCTCTGTGGCGAATTTGATCATGAAGTACATGAAGAGGAGGACCTGCAATAACGAGGATGGGGGTGAGAGGAGAACGACGAACAGCACAGCACACAGCACAGAGCACACAAAGGACAGCAGACAAAACGCAGTAAGTCCCAATCATGCTAGTTCCACTCCACACCACAAATAGCTCACAATCATCGCCTCCATACCCCTCAGAACCCATTGACGTATCCCTCCTGGGAGCATCTGGGAGCGTCTCCACAGCCCCGGTGGACAATGCTTGCATGACTTGCTCCCATACCCCACTCCTCATCAATGCATCCCTCCCAGCATACCGAGATAGGCCGGGACAACTCCTTCATGAGCTCTGGGAGCGTCTCCACGGCCCCAGTGGACGATGCAGCATCATCATCCTCATCCTCCTCGTCCTCCCCCTCATCTATGTCCGGCTGGGATCAACACGCGAATCAGGGTGGGGAAGAAGGAGGGGAGGGAGGGAGGGCGTGGGGGAACGATGCAGCATCATAATCCTCGTCCACCTCGTCCTCCCCCTCATCAAGCTGGTTTCTGAGAATTCTCAAGAACCTCCTCGTCCACCTCGTCCTTTCCCTCATCAATGCCAGGCTGGGGGTGTGTGTGTGGGTCAGGGTGGAGGGGAACGGATTAGTGCGAGGAGGGGATGGAGAAGGGAAGGGAGGGCAGCAGAAAGGCAGAAACGCAAAGATGTGGAGACGCACACATTCTATGAAGGAGAAACAGGAAAGGAGAGAGATGCTTACCAGAGAGGCTAGCATGAGCCAAGTCCGCGCGTCACTCTCATCAGTCATCCCAGTGTGCCCGCGCCCTGCTGCTGACGCTGATGCTGCTGCCTGCGCACCCACCGCACCTGCCGCTACTGCTGCTGCTCCTTCTGTTAGTGCTGCTCCTGTTACACCGTTCTTATTGTCCTGCCCTGCCACCCCCCTCAACAGAGGCTCAGATAAGGCACTCCCAGACCCTTTTCTCTCTCCCGTTCCTACTCCTAGCCATCCCCACACTCTACTCCCTGCCCCAGCGCCCTTTTCCCGGTCCCCTGCCCCTGCTTCCATCCTTCCATCCTCAATCTCACGCGAGCCATCAGCAGGTGACGCAGCAGTCATCATACTCCCCTCTCCCACCACCACCCCATCCCTGTCCCCCCACCCTCCCCTCTCTCCCCCAACCCCATTCACGCCCACCGCTCCCATCCCTCCCAGGGCTGCTTCTTTCGAACCCCCCCTCTTCAGGCTCCCTCCCAGCGCAGCCTCTTTCGACCCCTTCCTCCTCAAATCCCCTCCGGACTTCTCCCGTTTCACCCCCGCTGCTGCTGCCGATGGCGTTGGCGCCTGCAGGTGAGACCGGTCCGGTTCCTTAAAGAAAAGCACCACAAAGGCGAGGTAGAGCAGCCAGGAGAGCACCATGAGCCAGCCGGGGGAGGTGACGGAGTTGACAGTGAAGCCGAGGAACTTGAAGTTGAGGAAGTCAATGAGGGAGGCTGCGAAGGGCCCTGCTGCCATGCCTAGGGCTCCTGCGCTCACGAAACCCGCCGAGGCTGAGGTTCGCTCGGAGGATGGCACGTGGTCGGCTATGTATCTGCGGTTAATCGCTCGCACTCCTCCCAGCCTGCAGGGAGGGAGGGAGGGTGGAAAGGGGTGCAGTGCAGTGCAAAGGAAGAGAACCATGAGCCAGCCGGGGGAGGTGACGGAGATGACAGTGAAGCCGAGGAAGTGGAAGTTGAGGAAGTCGATGAGGGTGAAATTTCTCAGCAGGCAGTAATGGAAGTGGAAGGAAGCGGAATCTCAGCAGGCAATCACCTTTTCCCTCTCTCCTCCCCTTCTTTCCCCTCTGCGCCCTCCTTCTGGATCCCCAATGATGCTGAACCTACCCTCTCCACCCACCCCTCCCCTATCCCCTCCTCTCGCCCCTGCCCACTCCTTTCAGGTCTACCCCTGCGGCCCTGCCTTACCCGGTGAGAGACCGGCCAATCAAAAGGAGGGCAACGGAGTTGAAGTCGAGCGCAGCGGCGTAGGCGAAGTTGCCGAGCAGCAGGACGAGCGTGGAGACGAGTAAGGGCTGCGTGTAGGACGTGTTGGACCACTTGCTGAAGATGAAGGCTGAGACCAGCGCACACAGGGGCGCGCGTGCATGGCTTACACTCCCACGCACCCATCCCCCACTCCCCTTCCCCCTCACTCCCCACCTCCTTTCACGGCATCAACTGTTTCTTACCCGGTGAGTGACCGCCCAATGAGCAACAGTGCTACAGAATTGAAATCCAGCGCAGCAGCGTAGGCGAAGTTGCCGAGCAGCAGGACGAGCGTGGAGACGAGAAGGGGCTGCGTGTAGGACGTGTTGGACCACTTGCTGAAGATGAAGGCCGACACCAGCGCACAGAGGGGCGTGGCGCCGATAATAATGCCGCAGAGAGCTGGTGGCGCGGAGAGGAGTATGGCGTACTCGTCTGATGTGGGCACGATGATGTAGTAGTTCACCTGAGTGGGTGGGGTGGGTTTGGGTGTGGTGGGGTGCGGTTGAGTGCAGTAAGATTCGGTTGGGTGCGGTGAGAAGGGGTAAGTTGCTTGTAGGACGTGTTGGACCACTTGCTGAAGATGAAGGCCGAGACCAGGGCGCAGAGGGGCGTGGCGCCGATGATGATGCCGCAGAGAGCGGGTGGCGCGGAGAGGAGTATGGCATACTCGTCGGAGGTTGGCACGATGATGTAGTTCACCTGGGTGGGATGGGGTTGAGTGCGGTGGGGCAGGGTTGAGAGCGGGTGGAATGGAGTTGAGTGCGGTGGGAAGGGGTAAGTTGGGTGTAGGACGTGTTGGACCACTTTCTGAAGATGAATGCTGAGACCAGCGCACACAGGGGCGTGGCGCCGATGATGATGCCGCAGAGAGCGGGTGGCGCGGAGAGAAGGACTGCGTACTCGTCTGAAGTGGGCACGATGGTGTAGTAGTTCACCTGGGTGGGATGGGGTTGAGTGCGGTGGGATGAGGTTGCGTGCGGTGGGAGGGGGTAAGATGAAGGCTGGCTCCAGAGCACAGAGGAGCGTAGCGCTGACGATGATACCGCACAGGGCTGGCGGGGCGGAGAGGAGGACTGCGTACTCGTCTGAGGTTGGGACAATGATGTAGTGGTTCACCTGGGTGGGAGGAGGTGGGGTGCGGTGGAGGGAGGGACGGGCGGTCGGGACGGGGGGATGGCGGGGGGAGGGGAGGGAGGGGAGGGAGAGGGGGCAAAGGGGGTAGGGGAGGTGGGAAAGGGAGGGGGCAGGCCAGGAGGGATGACGAGCGCACAGAGGGGCGCCGATGATGATACCGCAGAGGGCTGGCGGGGCGGAAAGGAGGACTGCATACTCGGCTGAGGTTGGCATGATAATGTAGTAGTTCACCTGAAAGGGGTGGACGAGTTGTGGGAAAGAAGGACCCTTGAGTTGCCTAAGGTCAACAACCCATTTGTCTGATGTTGGGATGAAGATGTACTTGTTTGAATGCGAGAAAAAGAAGAAAACGGGGACGAAAGGTAGTAAGCTGTTTCAAACACAAGTCGTGGCCAGACCAGCCCACTGGGTTTCGGAGCAGCTGTTGAGTCTCGTCTCACCATGTAGAGGAAGGTGTTGAACTGGTTGAGCTGCAGCGACCACCAGTGGAACTCCGGCTCCCCTGCCTCGGGCCCTCTCTCAGGGGGAGGCGGCACCAGGCGTGCTCTTCTCATCAGCGCTCAGCTCACCCCCTACATGAAGCTGCTCTCACCATGTAGACGAACGTGTGGAACTGGTTGAGCTGCAGCGACCACCAGTGGCATTCCGGCTCGCCTGCCTCTGGCCCTCTTTCGAGGGGAGTGGCAGCAGCAGCCCCTTGGGAGATTCGTTTTGATAGCACCCCTTCAGAGCAGCTTTCAAACCGCACCACACACACAAACGTGCTCTCACCATGTAGAGGAACGTGTTGAACTGGTTGAGCTGCAGCGACCACCAGTGGAACTCCGGCTCTCCTGCCTCGGGCCCTCTCTCAGGAGCAGGCGGCAGCAGCAGCCCCTTGGCCATGTACGTGCTGTACCCCACCGCGTCTGTCAGCTTCGCCCGTGCCGCCTCGATTTCCTGAGGGGGTCAGTAACGAGGAAAAGCAGGTGCTATTGTGTTGACAAACATGGAAGCGAACATGACCCCACCCCACTCCCTGTCTCTTAGGGGCGGGCAGCAGCAGCAGCCCCTTGACCATGTACGTGCTGTACCCCACTGCGTCCGTCAGCTTTGCTCTGGCTGCCTCGATCTCCTGAAGGGGTGAATAGGCTTAGCAGCACACACACACACCCGACCCGAACCCACCCCCACCCCAACCCCCCACACCACACGCACATTCACAAGGAAAATCATTTCACTGTGTGTTGACTGGAAGGGAAAGTGAAAACGGCCCCCCACTCTCTTCCTCCTCCTGGGCCACATACACCAGGGAGGGACTCATCCCCTTTCTGAAGAGTGCGGGCATTTAAGCTCCGTATGAGTATGCACATGAGCTAACATGGTCAAACCATAAGCACCCACCTGAATGATCGGCTCCTCCTCCTGAGCCACGTACACCGGGGACTCGTCCCCCTGCCTGAAGAGTGCAAACAGGCGTCTGGGAGTGCCACCACGTGCCACCACGTGCGCATCACTGTAAACGGTTGCACCATCAGCAGCACCCACCTGAATGATGGGCTCCTCCTGAGCCACGTACACCGGGGACTCGTCCCCCTGCCTGAAGAGCGAGAAGGACGTGCGTCTGGGCGTGCCGGCACCACGTGGTGAGAGGAGATTGGAGGGCGAGGAGAAGCACCGCTCCCTGCGGTGCAGCTCGTCCAGATTGCGGATGATTGTTCCCACCATGGCGCCCAGACCCTGGGGATGACGTTGATGAGAAGCGGGTGTGGGGGGGGAGGGGGGGGGGGAGGAGGGGAGGGTAAGAAAATAATAATCCTGGGTAGCACATGGCATGTGCAGCTTGTCCAATTTGTGGACGATGGCGCCCAGTGCTGTGCAGTGCCCCACCATGGCATGCAGCCAGACGAGGTGCAGAATTTAGAGCGTCTCATCTCGTATTTCACACACAAATCACACATCAACTCTCACAACTCACCACTTGTTTGAATATCTGTCGCAGGTGCGAGTAGGGTTGCAGCGTGCGCGACTACGTGGGTCCCAGCCTCACGCCCACGCGCCGGTCAAACTTCTTCAGGATCACAACTCACAATTCACACCACCGCTCACCACTTGTTTGAAGATCTGCTGCAGGTGCGAGTAGGGATGCAGCGTGCGCGAAGCAATGTACGTGTGTCCCAGCCTCACGCCCACACGCCGGTCAAACTTCTTCAGGATCTTCCTCAGGCCCGTGGCGTTCAGCTCCACAAACTGCAGTAGCTGCAGCAGCTCCCGCCCCACGTCCCTGCAAAGAGAAAATAAAGAAGACATGAAAACAGCTGCTTGTAAGGCAACAGGAGGCAGCACTATAACGGGGATAAAATCGCAGCCTGGTGTCGTTCAGCTCCACGAAATGCAGCAGCTCCCTCCCGACGTCTCTGCTGACCGAGAACAGGATTAAATAATAACAGCTGCTACTGAAGGAAAGGGAGGCAGCACTATAACGGGGAAGGTTCAAAATTACGGTTTTCGTAAAATACGGTCCGTTTTTTACGGTGATTTTTCAGAAAAAAACGGCCGTTTTTTTGTTAGAGAACTCTGTTCACCAAGAAAAAAAAAAAGAGAAAAACAAGGTCAAAAACATTTTCAATCATGCCAACAAGCGCATACATGCAAGAAGGGGTCCATCCCCTTCATGCTGCTGCATTTCGGGTTCGATTTGGTCCCACTAAGTGGCCGTTTTGTTAGTTATAGAGGAAACACCTCCTGGAACCGTTTTAATCCGTTTTTTGTGGTAAAAATTCAATAAAACGGTCGTTTTTTTTAACCCTGACGGGGATAGGATAGGAAGACAGCCCCGTGACGTTCAACTCCACGAAATGCAGCAGCTGCAGCAGCTCCCGCCCCACGTCCCTGAAAAGGAGATGATAAAGAGGCAGAAGCGAATAACGAGCGCTGCTCCTGGTAGTTGGTGGCGATAGGGAAGACAGATAGTTCTGTAAGTGCATGTTTCTATGAGGCGCAATAAGACATTTATTGAGGCACCTGTTCAATATCCTGTTCAGATGACTTTGTTCCGAATTGAAATAATTGAACAGCATGCACAGTTACCTGTACCCACATGTCGCTAAAATCGGATGACATGACGAACTTGCAGCACATTGAAATAACAAAACAAAATGCACAGTTACCTGTACTGTTCCATCATGTCGCTAAAATCGGACGACATCACGATCGCTAGGCTGGACTCGTCTCCCCGCGTGTTCGACCCTTCCCTCTGCTCTCGTAGCCGTTGGAGCTTTCCCGCCAACACGCCCTGCTGCTCCAAGAAGAACAGCACCACCTTCTCCATCTGCCAGCGCACAATTCGGATTTGAGCTAATATATGTTATTCCACGTAGCATTAGACAGCCCGAATACCATACGGTTAACCAATGGTCGTCTCGAGAGAGCTCAAACCAACGAAACCGAGCAGCTAATTAGCACTCGGCATTTGCAAACCCTGAATGCCTTCAGGCTGTATTGGCGTCTGATGGAACCCGGTCAAGGAAACTACCTAATCTGTTACGCGAGACGACTCACGCCGCTCAAACGGAGGCTGATGTCAGCTTAGTTTGGCCTAGAAACTTCGAATAACACTAAACGAAGAAACAAACAGATGTACAAGCGTAAGGGTAAAGAAACTGGACTTAGTCTAAAATAAATTAGTAAAAAGGAACCAGAAATCTACCTGCGAGTCGAGATGTTCAGAAAATCGACGTGCCATGTCCTGCTGAACGTCTTCCTCCGTGACCCCCGACGCCACGGCGGCTTCATAGGCACGAATTTCCTTCTTCAGAGACTTATAGTTGAGGTAATATCTGTTGCAAACAAATGGTCACACACGCAAAAAGCGATTCTTCACGACAGAACGTCATGATGGCTCGGATAGCCAAAACGTAGCACCAAAACAAATATTAATTAAAAGGACGGCGACGAGCTAAGCATAATTCGGTATGCCATCTGAAAGCTAGGAGTTAGCAGCAACTCACGGTTCCCATCCTGGTACGCGGTGAGAAAGCAGATATCGGCCGTATTGCACCATTTTCGCATAAACTTCCAAAGGATAGGGCGCTATGCCAGGTGTATGTACAACATCGCAATCAAAGGCGAAGGAAAAGAAGACTGATTGTGCTTTTCTAGGATTTCAGCTAGTACTTGACAACCAAGTTTCGAGATGCTGCTATTCGAGTCGCACAGTAAGTGCTGGAATAAGAGACAGCTAGACTGAAAGAACGGATTAGCCGCTATCTCGTAACTCCAGAGTCTGATTACACCTGTGCGACCTGTTCCCTCCCTACTGTACCAAGTCAAGTGGAGCTGACTTCACAGAATGGTAACCGACGCCATGATCCATACATATACATCATCCATCTTTGAGGCTGGTTGGTGAGGTGGTGGTCTGGTGGTGTATGGTGCCTGGAAATGCCTCGAGCTTATCGCGGCTCGCATTCCTGCTACGTATATATGGGTTTAGTCGGGTGAGAAAGGGTTATATGAGCTGCAGTGGGAAATTGGCAACGCAAAGTTGTCGGCTCGGGTGGGGCCTGGGGGCAATCTGTGTGGTGTGGTGTGGTGTGGTGTGGTGGAGTGGCGTGGCGGGTGAGCCTTTGTTGTGCTGGCTGCTGCTGACTCCCATTTTTGTGGCTGAAAATTGCGCGCTGAGCAAGATGCCTTTTTGCTATGATTGGATCAGAGCTGACGGCAAATGCTGGATGATGGCACGCGGACGGACTGATGCTGTGGCTTCGGCCTTACCTGACGTCAGCGTAACCAGTAATGTGGGCCCTTCCCCTCACATCATTGGCTACGCGTGTCGGTTCCAGGCCAGGTGGGAGCAAATTGGGGATCCAGGCCGCGTGTGGGACATGCGGAGGAGAGGAGCCTTGCACTTTCCAGCTCAGAACGACCTTGAGAAGCCTTGAGCTTCAGTAAGCCAGCAGGGCAAATGTGAGAGAAATAGAACGAGACAACGCATCTACACTAAGATACTCAGCTAAAAAAATAAAAAGTACCAACTAGTTGCTACTACAGTAAGGTAGATTAGTTGCTAGCTAACAAGCAGGCAGTCAACCTAGTGTCACAAATGTCACGACTACCCAAAGTCACTACGTCACGTCACACACAAAAGGCGGTTCCAATACTACTGGCGAGCAAAGGCATTTGCCCCAAAAGCCCGTGAGAACTGAAGCAACTGATTTTGAGCTGCAGCCAGATTGTGCAGCTGTTGCAGACCAGCACTAGCACTCTCCTCCCCTTGCCCTCCCCCCGCTACTGCTGCCGCTGCAGCCACCGCCGCAGCAGCATTTGCCCCAGCGTTCACCCCATCCCACTCATTCCCCCACAGGCGCACCCGATCGAACTCCGCCTCGCCTCCTGCCCGATTCCCTGCCAGCTGCTGCCCGAGGTTGAAATGCACAGGGTTATTCACCCCAACCCCTGAAACCGAACCTAATGCAGAAGCTACTTCACCCCACGCTGAAGCCTGCAGGCCTCCCTGCTGCAACACCCGAGCTGCCCCAGCATGGCCCCCAGCAGTGGCAGCAGCAGCAGCAGCAGGGGTAGTGAACTGAAGAGGCTCAGTTTCATTATCCAGGCCACCTAGATTGGCAAAAGGGAGAGATTGGGGCCACTGAGAGCCCTGCTGCTCTGGCTCATGCACCTCCTGCTGCTGCTGCTGGTGCTGCTGCAGCTGCTGTTGCTGCACCTGGTGCTGTGCCTGCTGCTGCTGCTGGTACAGCTGATGATGCTGTACCTCCTCCTGTCGCACACTCCCGTACCCTGCAGCAGCTTCTGCTGCTGCAGAGCCAAAAAGCTGCTGCTGCTGATGGTGCTGCTGCTGCGCCGGCTGCTGCTGCGCCGGCTGCTGCTGATGCTGGTGGTGATGAGTGTGCTGCTGCTGCTGCTCCTGCAGCTGCTGGTAAAGCTGCTGAGTCTGCACCTGCGGCTGCACCTGCGCCTGCTGCTGCTGCTGCTGCTGACGCAAATACTGCTGCTGCTGATGCTGCTGGGGCTGTTGAGACCCCTGCCTCTGGGAACCCAGATACTGCCCTTGCTGCTGCTGCTGCTGCTGCTGCTGCTGCTGCTGCTGCTGCTGCAGCTGCTGCTGCCGACGAGACTCCCGCCTACTACCACTACCAGCAGCACCTCCTGCTGCATCCTCAGCCACAGGGAAGTTGAGATTCATCACCGGGGTTGCGCCCTGAAGGTCCTGCTGAGCCACTCCCCCACCCGCAACACCTGCAAATCCTGCACTGCCGGCTGCTGCCGCTGCAATCACCGCTGCAGCAGCTGCCGCCGCCGCAGCATGTGCATTACCATGCTGCTGCTGCTGCTGAACAGTTTGAGCCGCAAAAGCACCAGCGGCATCCCCGCCTGCTCCCCCTACCGCCCCAGCCCCGGCCCCACCACCAGCGCTGCCCCTCCCTCTGCCCGCCCCTCCTTGCCCCAGCACTGCATTCCGCCCTGCCTGTTGCCATAGCGCCTCTAAACTCCCAAACCCAGAACCCTGCCAGGCGTCCCCTACAGCCTGCCTGAGGCTGGCTAGAGTCGCGTCATCCGCCCCTGCTATGCCCATGAGTCCTGTTTCTGGCTCGGGTACTGTTACTTCTTGTTGCTGCGGCGCCTGCTGCTGCTGCTGCTGAAACTGCTGCACCTGCTGCTGCCGGTACGGCTGTTGCTGTGGCTGCTGCTGCTGGATCGGTTGCTGCTGTTGCTGCTGCTGAGGCTGCTGCTGATAGGGCACCTGCTGAGCCCGCGAGTGCCGCACTGGTTGTTGCTGCTGCTGCTGGTTGCTGTGGGTCTGATTCTGCTGCCAGTCTGCTTGCTCCACTCGCTCCTGAACTAGCTGCTGCTGCTGCTGCTGCTGTTGCTGCTGGGCCAGTGCTTGCGGCTGGCTCTGCTGCCGCTGCTGCTGCAGCATCTGCTGCTGCTGAATGTACGAGTTTCTCAGCTCAACTAGAGAAGACGAGTCCGTTGCTCCCGACTGCTGAACTATTGCCGCCCAGGACGCTGCCATTTGCTCAAGCTCCCCCAATCCCTGCTGCTGCGCTAATCCCTGCTGCCCCTGCCCCAGCCCCTGCTGCTGCGCCTGCCCCTGCCCCTGCAGTCCCAGCTGCTGCTGCTCCCCTTCTTGCTGCTGCTGCTGCTGCTGCTGCTGCTGCTGTTGTTGCTGCTGCTGCTGCTGCTCCTGCAGCCGCAGCCTTTCCAGCCCGATCCTCCCGCCACCTCCTGCCTGCTGCCCCACGCCCCGGTTGCCCCCACCCCCTGTCGCCTGCGCCAGTGCTGCTGCCACCGCCTCAACGTCTATCTGCCCCTCCAGTCCTGCCGCCACTGCAGCAGCAGCTGCTGCTGCCGCCGCTGCTGGATCAACCTCCGCGCCCGCCATCCCCTCCCCTCCCCCCGCCCCCTCACCCCCCCCACCAAGCTCCCCCGCGTTCCCCATCTCATCCGCCCCTTCCCCCCCGCCCCCTTCCGCAGCCCCCCTCCCCCTCCCCCGGTTCTTCCTCTTCTTCTTCTTCCCCTCCCCATTCGCCTGCTGCGCGGACGCGGGGAGGGTGGGCATCTTGGGGATGCGCACACGGGAGAGCGCGGGGAGATCCCCGTTTCCTATCGCCAGCGCAGCCCCCCCTCCCCGCGGCCGCCCAGGCTTCCGCCGAATCACCCCATCGCCCTCCCCTCCTGCGCCCATCTCCCCCGCAGCGTCTACCCCATCCATCCCAACCCCACCCTCTATACCCGCACCTCCAGGAACACCCGCAGCAGCAGCAGCAGCGCCGGCAGCAGGGTCAGCGGCAGGGGGGAGACCTTCAGCCGCTTTCGTCTGGGCTTGAATCACCTCCCTCTCCGCTTCCCTCGCTGCATTCTCCGCGTTAGCCGCGGCTGACGCGATCAACGACTGAACTGCCGCTTCCTCGTCCTCATCCTCGTGCTTCTCGTCTTCCACGGTTCCCAGAAGCTGCCGCACGCTGGCCGCCACAGAAGACGCCAAAGCATGCGCCTCAAACTCCAACGTCCCCTCCATCAGCTGCTGCCGAGCCTCATCATGCGCCGCGGATAGCAGCCTGGCTTGGGTCCGCCCGTCCTGCAATCTGCTTCGGGCACGATACACTGCCTTTTCCTTAAAACCAAACATGAGCTGGTACTTAGCGAATTCCAGTGACCCCAGCCGAATATACTCCTCCAGGGCTTTGAGAACGTCGTCCCACTGCATGTCCCCTGGATGCCCCACAGCCATTCCTCCGTTTGCTTCCTTAAACTTCGCCTTGGCGAGCGTGCCAATGTTGTTTGCAGGGCTCCAGGCGATTTGCAGGAGGGTGCGCACTGGCCGCTCCTTCATGGCTATCTGTAGCTTCGTGGCACTTAACTCGAGATCCGCTGCGAGTGCCTGGGCGGTTACGGCTTCGCGCTGTTGCTGCAGCTGCTGCTGCTGCTTCTGAAGGTCCTGCTTCTGCTGCTGCAGCTGCTGCTGTTGTTCCTCACTGGACCCACCATCAGCCCCACCAGCAGCAGTGCCGCCAGCAGCACTACTCTCTCCTCTTGCCCCACGCACACCATCACCACCAGCACCACCAGCACCGCCAAAACCACCGGCAGAAGTGGCAAAGAACCGCGTATCAGACCCCATGACGGTACCAGGGGGAGCAGCAAGGCCCGTGACAGGGGCGAGCCCGGGTTGGTTCTGAGTGGCGGCCATCCAGAGGCGCGAGATCTCCTCCGTCTGCGCCTTGTTGACCCCCTCCAGCAGGGACAGCTGCACGCGCGCCTGCGCCAGCATGTGCTCCTGCGCCACCACCTGACGGAGGGGAGGAGAGAGTGGTGGGAAGCGGTGGGAAGGGTTGGGATCGGTGGGAGGCGGTGGGAAGCGGTGGGGAAGGTGTGGCGAGATCTCCTCCGTCTGCGCCTTGTTGACTCCCTCCAGCAGCGACAGCTGCACGCGCGCCTGCGCCAGCATGTGTTCCTGCGCCACCACTTAACAGGGGGGAGGGGAGAGCGGTGGGAAGCGGTGGGAGGTGGTGGGGAACGGGTGAGACGCGGTGGGAAGCGGTGGGGAAGGTGTGGCGAGATCTCCTTCGTCGGCGCCTTGTTGACCCCCTCCAGCAAGGAGAGCTGCACGCGCGCCTGCGCCAGCATGTGCTCCTGCACCACAACCTGACATAGGGGAGGAGAGAGCGGTGGGAAGGGGTGGGAAGGGTTGGGAATTGGTTGAAAGCGGTGGACAGAGGTGGAGAGGGGTGGGAAGGGATGGGGAAGGGGTGGGGAGACTGGGTTGGTTCTGAGTGGCGGGCATCCAGAGGCGCGAGATCTCCTCCGTCTGCGCCTTGTTGACCCCCTCCAGCAAGGAGAGCTGCACGCGCGCCTGCGCAAGCATGTGTTCCTGCGCCACCACCATACCTGCTTCTTCAGCTCTCCGAACGCCTGCTTGGCCGCCTCCTTGGTGTTCCGCGCGCGCCTCAGCTCCCGCCCCATCGCGATCTGCTCTCCCCTCATGCGCTTCATCTCCACTATAGCCTCTTCTAGAAGCTTCTGTTGGCTCCTCAGACGTTCCCTGTCCACCCGCTCCCTCTCCGCCCTCTCTCTTTCCATCCTTTCGCGTTCCCTTCTCTCCCTCTCCAAACGCTCCCTCCCCGCCTGCTCCTTCTCCTTTTCCGCCCGTTCCTGATCATCAGCGCCTTCGGGAACTCCGCCAGTAGCAGCGCCGGCTTCCGCCTCCCCTTCCCCCTCCGCCTTCCCCTCCCCCTCCGCCCCGAGACCAACCGCGCCGGGCGCAACTCCCTCCTGGTTATCCTTCCCCTCCTCCTCTCCCTGCTGTTGCCCCGGCAGCGCTTTTTCCCCCGCCTTGTCCCTCTGCGCCCCCCGCCGCCTCTCCCGCTCGCGCTCCCTGTCCTGCGCCTTCCCGCGCAAAAACTCCTGCTCCAGGCGCAACTGGTGCGCCCAGTCCCCGACCGCATCCTCCCCCTCCCCTTCCCCTCCCTCCTCGGCCTCCTCTTCTTCCGCCCACAAGTCATCCCCAAGAACGCTCATTTGTGGCTGCCCTTTTATCCCGCTGCTGCCCAAGCTGCCCGGAAACAAAGGCACAGACATGCTATCCGTCAAACGAATCTTATTCCCGTCCAAACCCACTGCTTCACCTCCTGATTCTTCCCCTTCCCCTTCTCCTTCCCCTTCCGTCCCAATTTTGGTCCTCTCTTTCTCAAGTCCCTTACGCCTGACCTTCTTTAGCGAACCTCGAAGGCTCTCCTTATGTCCACGCATTCCACGTTGCAACCCACGGTGCAACCCACGCCGCATCTCACGGCGTCGCCTACGGTCCATGTGCACTCCCCCGCGGTTGGCCGGGAAGAACAACACGTCATCCTTGACCTCCACCACGTCATCATCCTCGTCCCGCAAATGCTGGAACCGCTTCCGTCCTTTCCGTTTCCGCCTCCCGTCCACGTCAGCACCGCCAAAACCATCCAATCCTGCAATGCCACGAAAGCCCGCCCCCGATCCCCGCCTTCCACGCAAGTTCCGCAAGCCCTCTCCCCGCATTCCGCCCGCAAACCCCGCCTCATCCTCGTCCTCCTCCTCTTCCTCCTCCCCCATCTCATCGTAATGCGCGTCCTCATAACGCGGGGCCTTCGGCCGCGCGCTTATGCCCATCTCCGCCGCGAAGTTCGCCGCCCAATCCGGAACGAACTTGCTATCCCCTTGGGGTCGCCGCCCGAAGCGGCCAAAGAGGGGATCCAAAGGCAGGGGCACCTGCTGCTGCGGCGGTGGCGGAGGATGCAGATGCGGCTGGTGCCCGAGCCGCGAGTGGATTTTGTGCGGATGTGGCTGATCCAGCCCCTGCGCCGGTCCGCGCGGTAGCGCCGCGTCTCGTTCCACGCGCGGTTTCTTCTCCCCGCGCTCCAGGAACGCCATCCCCACGCGCACGGCGTCCGCCTCCGCGAAAGTGCGCCGTTTGAACGGCCGCCCGCCCAGCGTGTCCCCAATGAGCGGGGAAAAAGCGTCTGCGTCTGGCGCCTCCGCTCTGCGGATCTTCTTCGGCCGTCCGCGTTTCCGCTTGAAGGGGAGGTCCGCGTCAGCCGGATCTAACGTTGCCGGCAGCTCCTTGCCGTCACCGTCGTCACCGTCACCGTCACCACCACCACCACCACCACCGCCACCGCCGCCGCCATCGTCTTTGTCCACGTCTCCCTCTCCTTCTCCGTCTCCTTCTCCGTCGCCGCCGTCACCGTCACCATCACCGTCGCCGTCGCCGTCACCTTCCCCGTCGCCGTCGCCTTCGCCGTCGCCATTGCCGTCGCCGTCACCGTTGCCTTCACCATCATCCTCATCGCCACCGTCCATGTCTCCGTCAAGGTCCGCGTCATCCTCGCCAAGGCCATCCTCGTCAAAAGCAGCTTCGATAGGATCCAGCAGGACGGATGCCGTCTGCTCCTGAAACATTTGCATCATGTCCTTCCGCGGACGATCCGCCGGAAACTGCGCCGACTGCGGAAGCTCCGCGGGTAGCTTTCCTCCGACATCAACCGGCGCTTCCGCAACATTTGCACCTCCGCCTTCCGTTCCGCCTTCCGCTCCACCTCCCCTCCCGCTTCCGCCTTCCGCGTTACCTCCGCCTTCCGCTCCGCCTCCGCCTGGCGCAAGCGTCGGCGCGAGCTGTGGCTCCAAACCCGTCTGGCCACCGTCGACCTCAGAAGCTCCAGCTTCCGATCCATTACGCTTAGTCTTCTTCTCGCTATCATTACGCTCGGTCGCGTCGTTGCCGTCAACTGACTGCTTTGCAACATTAGCGGAGTCCGAACCGGGAATAGGCTCGTTCGCAGGAGTAGGATCGTTTACAGAAACACCATTCTTCACGTCGTGGCTAGTAACGGGTTCTAGAGCATCGGCATTCTCTAGAGGAGCGGAAGGGTCACCGTCGTTGGCTGTGGGAGGCGGTTCAGAGGAGGTGGTTGTTTGTTGATTTGTAGGTGCTGTCTGCAGCTGTAGTAGCGTCTGAAGAGATCCAGATGTCATTATGCCACGCTTTGCGCTAAGGGAAGAGCAGAAAATAAAACGGTTTCGAAAAAAAATAGCAGTGCAGAAGGACAAGAAATAAAGCTTTGCGTCGGCTGACCGAAAGCTAGTCAATCGTCCTGTTGCCAAGGTAAATATAGTCAGACTGCGTGTATCAGGTCAGAAACACAGGTGACAGTGGTGCTGGTTTCAGTTCTGTTGAACACTAGCGGCCAAGCAAGGTGAGGGCAAAGAAAGGAACACTAGGAAACGTTGGGGGAGGAAAAGTGGTCAGCGACCAACAGCCATGGATGTTGCCGCGAGGAAGTGCCTCTCGAAAACACCAAACTCGAAACTCAAAAACTTGAAACTTCAAATTGCAAATGACGGGGCTGTCGGGCTCTAGCCTACCAGTACTGGAAAGAAACTAGGGTTTCGTCTAAAGCCACGGATACAGGTATGAAGCACTGAATGAACCAGAACACTAGTGCTCTGCTCGGCCATACCAGCGCTTCAGACAGGATATAATTTGCTTCTCCAAATTTTATGGTCTGCCCGATTGGATATTGACGTGGAAGGTCTTGCGGGCAGCGCTGCACAGCAGGCTGGTTGGCCGCTCATGGTCCAGCGTGGCATTCAAACCACTGCGCTGACCATTGGTGGAGGGGACCAGCGCAATCTGGAAGTTATCCGGGCAGTACTCACAATTTTCGATTCTGTGGAGCCATTGAGGAAACCCTAGCTCCCTCACCTTACCTTCTCTAGAGTAACTGATTGTTGTATAATGGAATGGACTACACCCCCCGTTGATCTCCTGCGTTTCTATGTGAATGAAACCTTCTGCATCAATCTCGTGAACTGTTTTCGCTGCAAGTATTTCAACGTGCTTCTTTCTGTAGACATCCGCATGCTTCGTTGTCACCCCAGAGAGGCCAGCCTGGAAACCCTCGTTATTTCGGGGCAACTCACTCAATTGGAACGATTGAGGGTACCTGAAGGTACTCGAAGGGTAGTGTGAATCGAGTTATTTAGTTCCTCCTCAATTCCTGTGAGGCAGAAAATGTGCGGGTGTGCGTCTCCTCTACTACCCTGAAACACAATGGCAACAGTGATTGCGTCTGCTTTAAACAAGGAGGGGAATCTGCAGACTGCCTTGAAATATTTTTTTTCGCAAGTATACCTTCCCTCGTGAAGCATGTCCGTGTAGGCAAAGGTCCAACCCAGTTGTAGAGGTACCAGTTAGCATTCCGAGCAAATTAAAGGGCGGAAAACAGCCTCGGATATGGCATGTTTTCCGCAGAAGTAGATGCTACCCGATGCTGGACCTTGTTCATTGCGTCTCTCTAGCAAGAGTGTACCTACATGAGACCTCGCCTATCCGGATGCAGTGCATCACAGAGAGTGTACACCCACTTGTTCGTTTGATGTACCCGCGATTGTGTTACCAGCTTGGTACATTCACATAGAAGGTTGGGAGCGATGCGTTTATGTCACATAGAATCGATTCACACGCGTGATCAGTTCAGCATTGAATTGCTAAACGTTGAAGAAAATCGGTGGCAGAGCACTACAGTTACACGCATTCGCGCTAAAGACGAGGCCAAATTTATTAGTTATGATTAGGTCAGGCCGGCCTACAGTTGCAAAACCGTATTTATAGCCACATTTTGGGAGCAAGGGACGGCAATACGCACGGAAATGTGACTCGCAGACGTTAAAAGCACCGGGCAAAAACGACAAGCATCTCCGACCGAAACGCGCTTGGTGAGATAAACGAATAATTGGGTGTATTGATGAATGGTTCCACTAGTGTGAGCATGGGAGCTAGGACAACATTCGATACTGTAACATCGACAGGATTGTTTGGTAGTGGTCCCATGTGTAGGTGTAGAAGCGATGTGAAGAAGCACAAAAGTCAGCGAAGGTTGCAGCATCAGTATGCATCGACATAGTCTAGTAGCCTCCATGCTCTTCAAGAGTATCTAGGTTAATTTCCGTCACCGTATTTATATCAACCTACGAGCATTGGGTAGTCCTGCGACCTGAAGGAGTTCAAATCCGCCATAACACAGTGTGTGTCTTCCCTGTTACGTTCCGAATGGGTACAAACCTTAACCGACTCCCGCGCTAGTCCAAGGTCCTTCGATCCGTTTCTGTTCACATTCACGTGCTAACGCCGAGCTGACATCTGTTTGATAATGAGTGACCTTACCTTACCGTCGGCGCTGATCGCTGCTCATCACCGACGGGAGCACGAGCGCCCGCAACAGCAGCAGGAGCAGGAGCGATTCGTCAGCACCAAACAAGTGTCAACACCCGACGGCACAACTAACGGCGACGGCAACGATGCCGGCTCGTATGGTGTCCCCTCGCCGGCCAACAGAACATCAATCGCACGACAAACTTTTCAGCCAGGCGTTTCTCCTCATTCCGGATCAGCGGGAACCGCGTCAGGAGTGTCCGTCTACAGTCGTGAGCTCAAGGTGGTTCCCGGGGGAGTTTCCGGCATGACAATTGAGACCGCAGGGACCGAGCTGTCCGGTCAGATCATGCACAATCGGACGGATTCGGGTCAATTAGCCGTTGCGCCGCCGTCGTCGCCGTTTGGCAGCTCTGGGTCAAAATCACGTCCGTCAATGCACTCATCTTCAATGCCCTCTCCTGTCAGTCGATCGGGGGGTAAAGCCTCCGGTCCCGCTCCCCCTCCCCCGGCCATTTTCCACAAAGCCCTACGAGACTTGGGTGCAATGTCGGACCCTCCACGTCAGCTAGCTGCAGCGCGTGCTCTTCGCGAAATTGCACGCGACTTCGAGGGAAGCCGCCCGGCCATGGTGGAAGCGGGGGCTGTTTCCGCGTTGCTTCCGCTTCTGGGACCCAGTGAAACCTCGCAATGTCAGCAACGAGAGGTTGAATGTGGTGGTGGGGGGAGTTCAGGAAGGAATACCCAGGAAGATGGATCGGCAGGAGCAGCAGCAGCAGCAGGCGTAGGTTCGGGAGAAGTTTCTAGAGCAGCAGTGATGGAGGAAGCAATAACCGCCTTACTGAATCTGTCCATCCATCCAAAATCTCGCGCACTCATGCCCTTCTTGGGGGTTATTCCGCATCTAATCCGTGTGGCTGGGAGTGCGGAGAGCATGAGTGCACGGGAAACTGCTGCTGCTACACTGTTTAGCTTATCTGCTGAAGACGAGAATAAGGTGATGATGATTGACGAGGGTGCTGTTCCGCCGCTGCTGGAGCTTTTAAACAAGTCAGCTTGTAGTGAGCAGGGAAGACGGGATGCCTGCAAAGCGCTGTTCAACCTTTCCATGCTGAACTCGAAGCGGCAGCAGTTGATAGAAGCCGGTGCTGTGCCTACCCTTCTGGGGCTGCTATCTGAACCTGCATCGGCCCTTGCAGAGAAAGCTATGGCCGCTATTTCAAACCTCTCATCCGAAGCCGATGGCAGGGCTGCTATTATGGAGGATGAAGATGATGGCCTTGGGGCTTTGGTGGAGGTTTTGGAGACAGGTACACCAAGGGGGAGGGAGTTTGCAGTTGCTGCTTTATGGCAGATCGCAAGCAACAATGAGGAGCACAGGAGGTTGATTCTTGGAGAGGCGTTGTTGCCTTCAGTAAATGGTCTACTACAGACTGGCACTCCCAGAGCTAAAGAGAAGGTGAGCGTGTGATGTTTTCCTTCATCTGTGTGTTGTTGCAGTTTTTGCTTCTTTGTCATTTCCACTCAGTAGTTGTTTGGTGTGTGTTTTCCAGGCAAAATTGCTGCTGGCTAATTTGCGTGGAGTATAATGTGGTCACATCAGAAAATATTCGCTGCTTTACAATTTGTTCCATTCAAATGAGATTCCTATCTTGTGCAATACATGTCAATTAAATCAAGTAAATAGGCTTTTTGTACTACACATACTGCACCTTTTACATGTCCTTCTGCACTAACTATCTGAGACGGTCATATCCGACACGCTTTTATGGTGTGGTCTGAAGCCAAGCTCCAGAGACCGTGTAGTATCTGTACAAGCTCCAGAGGCCACGCCGTCACAGAGCATCATGTGACGATAGCCATCGTTGAGCTGCTTGAAATTGAAGCATCAGATGAAGCTTGGCGAGTTCATGGTGGACTTCCGGCGGGACGGCCGGCGACGAGGGCTGGATGGCATGAGGTCGTTCCAAATGTCGTCCCAATCGTCCTTGCGCTGAGTTTTTCTCCGTGTGGGTGTATTGCGAGAAGGCTCGGCGGGAGATTTCGAGACCATAGAGACAGACGCTCTCCGCCTCTCACAACGCTTTAGAGCCAGCTGTAAAAGGCAAAGGAAGGAGCACGGTTTCACACGTTAGAATCAACCTCGAGGCTAATAAGGAAAGTCTCATGCTAGAGATGACCTACTGACCTCGTATGCGGAGTGGACTTCAAGGAACTTGGAAGTAGTATCTTCAACGGGATTGGCATCTGGATGGTAGGTTCGTGCGAGCTGCCTGTAAGCTCTGCGGATGTCATCAGCGCCAGCACTGGACGGAATGCCTAAAACGCTGAAACAATCTGAGCCACTTCGCCGTTCAGGAGTGGCTGCTAGTCTCGCTGTGACTGGCGACCGTAAGTGTCCATGAGATAGCCTGGGAGCTGAAGCGTTGTCAGCCCGTGGAACGGCTGAAATTCTAAAGAGACATGGGGAAACGTCTCGCTGATGGATTGTCAGTACCCCCTGTGTGTGAACCATGGTGCAGAGAGCGAAAGTCCTACAAGAAGCAACTCTAGGACACTGGCTCTGTAAGCAGTCTCAACGTGTATAGGAAATATGTTGCAGAGATCTTCTTCAGAATGGAAAGCACAACCGAGTAGGTTGAGAGCAGGATGAAACTACGAAACAGCACCAAAGCCAGAAGATATACTCGTCGACCGACGCCTGCGGAACCCTAAAGCAGCTGTAAAGCGAGCAGAAAAGTCGGGATTCAAGGAGCCGAGGATCACGTTATGGAAAGTCAGCTGAACCCAACCTGACCTGACGGCGTGGCATGCCGTGCTG